AGGAAGGTCAGGCAAGGGTAGCACGTGTGTAACCTGGCCTCAAGATCATATTTTCTTGTAAATGTGAGAACTGCTGGGGAAGACAACAAAATGCTCCAAACTCCCTTTGCACAGGGGCACAACACACAGGGACTCCACTGAGCAGCACCGGGGGAGCCTGAGCTCCTTATTCTGCAGAGTTCAAAGTAGAGAAGTGAGACAAAATACCTATTTTTAATCCCTTCCTAGTTGAAGTTTCCACTTTCGTTGTAAATGCAAATGGCAAACACCAAGCTCCACCTATGAAGGAGCATCTGACTATTCATCAGAAAGACAAAAACTGCCCAAAAATTATTTAGAATTGCTCCTACTTCTGCTGGAACACTATGACCTGGATGAGCAAGCGCCTCTAAAACACCAGTTCTTCTGCCTGACACTGGGAAATGATCAGCAACCTCAGCCTGTGGGACATGCCACGACTACAATCCACAGACAGCACAGTTAAACTAGGAAAGCACTGACAATCCACACAGGGTAGATGGTGCAAGTGAAGGTGGAAGGATCTTCAGTCTGCACTACAAAATGACCAGGATAGAGGAAACATCCTTCACACCATGAACATGGAAAATCAGAACCATAGGAACAGCCTCTACGTTGCAACATCACGATACTGAAGACAAACATTACAATCATTTCAAGGCTGTGACACAAAGCAAAGAAGGAGGCAGTTCAAAGCTCCTGCTGGAACTTCCTCCACACCCCAGCTCTGAAAGAAGCCAAAAGGCACCCGGGAGGCACCGAATTTCAAACTGTCTAATCCTCAGATATCACTGAAAAAGGCAACTTTCATCTGAAGCCATCAGAAAGTCAAATGGAAAGGATATTCCTCAGAACCAAGAGCAAGTTACTTAGCCCAGGACACAGCAGGATTTTGCAATCTAATTTGCCTAGGAGAGTTATTTTGTCTAGGAACAAGATTTGAGTAAAGAGTCCAAAATGAGTTCACCCAACTGGAGTGATCTGTTAACAAATTCACAGCTTCAGCTCTGCAGAAGTGAAGAGATGACCCATTCATTAAAAAAACCCCACTCTTTTCATTTTCCTCAGCCTTCCACAAATCATTCTGCCACACTCTGGTGAGCTAAAACTCCCCACTAGCAATGAGGAGTCACAGCATTTGTTAGTCCTAAAGCCTTCTCCATGCTGAGTGAGGGACTGACCAGGAAGCCACAGGGATACCTAGTGTGGCACAGACATCATTTTGAGCCAAGTGACAGGAGATGCAGTCTCTGTTCAGAGGTTATTTCTCAGTTACAGACTGAAGACCCACATTCTAAGGAGCTTTTTGGGTGTTGAATTAACAGTCTGGTCTGTAACAGTCCTGGCTCCATTTGCTAACAGTCAGAACTTACCCAAAGCACTGCTGACAAGTATTAAACAAGTCACATTTAAGTTAAAACATGAAAAGAAATGAGACCTCACTGCAGACTTCATTTTCCAACTGTCACTGTTCTATATCTGAGCTCATTCATTGCAGAGAAGAAGAAAGCAGCCAAATAAACCCCTTCAGTCCCTACAAAACTCTCTCCCATGCTTTAGGACAGGCATAAAATTAAACTAAGTGTTTCCAAAAATTCTTTGCAAATAGCCAAACAGAGACATCCCTCCTTGGTTGAGGTGTGGTTGATTCCACTGATGCAACTTTGCTTTAGGCTAAAACTCCTAAAAACCTGGTAATTTAAGGCATTGGAGGCACACGGTTTTCACTAGGAGTGCCCCAAACCACAGCACAAAGGAGAGAACATACTGTGCATTCCTCTTGCTTCACTGTCTGTTCCCAGATAAATTCTACAGGGATCAAGGGTGACTAAGTATTGTGTCAAATTCCAGGGCCTCCAACATAAAGACGTGGAGCTGATGGGGTGAGTCCAGAGGAGGCCACAGAGATGATCCAAGGGCTGGAGCAGCTCTGCTCTGGAGACAGGCTGGGAGAGTTGGGGTGTTCAGCCTGGAGAAGAGAAGGCTCCAGGGAGACCTTAGAGCAGCTTCCAGTGCCTGAAGGAGCTCCAGGAAAGCTGGGGAGGGACTTGGGACAAGGGCAGGGAGGGAGAAGACAAGAGGGGATGGATGAAAACTGGCAGAGGGAGATTGAGGTGAGACATGAGGAGGGAATTCTGGAGTGTGAGGTGGTGAGAGCCTGGCCCAGGTTGCCCAGGGAAGCTGTGGCTGCCCCATCCCTGGCAGTGTTGAAGGGCAGGTTGGATGGGGCTTGGAGCAACCTGGGCTGGTGGGAGGTGTCCCTGCCCATGCAGGGGGGTTGGAACTGGATGATCTTTAAGGTCCTTCCAACCCAAACCCTTCTATGCTCTGGCTCTGATATCACAGAGGCCTGGAGCCTCCCCAGCACCCGACTGAGCTCAGTCCTGCCCAGCTGCTGGATCCCACTGGCTGGCTCGATGGGAAGTTGGATTCATTTGAAGAATTCCCCTGCATTCCAACCCAGCCTTTGGAATGCAAAAAATGAAGAGGGCAGAACTAGGTTCTAACCATCATCACCACCATATTGCTCCCTAAGAGCAATTAATGATTCTGTACCTTAACTTTCCCCTCTCACACTGAGCAGTAATTTTGGATTTTTCAGTTTCTCATCTGAAGACAAGAACCCAAATTATCACTCCTAGAAAACACACTATTTTCTGCTGAAGATTTATAATGTTTCTTGCACTTTAGCTACTGAAATAATTTTAACACTTTCAAGCAAAGTGAATTAAGAGGCAACATCAATGATGTGAGGAGACTGACAAATTGCCTTTTGATGCCATCACCAAGCAACTGGATGGAGAACTGGCCAGGCATTCCATCCACTGGTGCTAAAAATCACTTTCAACCAGAGTTCCAGATATAAAAAACCCTATTATCAATCATGTTCTAATAGGTATTAACCCAAGTTTTTAAGCTCTGACATACTGATTTCTTTAATTCTGTAATAATACCTTCTAAACAATCTCTCCTGTGCACAATGTAGCTGGCTGGTCACATTCAAAATATATTGGAACACACCCCTCCCCTGAAGAGATGTGTAATAAAGAACTGAGATACAGAGAAAAATACAACACAACAAAAGGACTGTGCAAATTACTACAAAGGGAAATAATGCCTTTTGAGTAGAACACTTAATGGCATCACCATTGCATGATTAAGAACTGACCCATTTAACAAGAGGTATCAAAGCTGGTTTAGCTGTAAAGCAGCTAAACCAACACAGGTTTAGCTAAGAGTATTTGCTTTTTTTTTTCCTTTTTAATTTTAAAACCAAACAGTTCTTATTCCCTTCATTCCTAACAGTGCTGCAGAGAAGGCTCTGCAGTAACAGCAGCTTTGATAACTTCTGGTACTTGGAGTAAAGTCCCAACAAGTAAAGAGACAAACAAAAGATGCAGAAAACTTAGGCTTAAACAAGACAATAAATTACAGCATTCAAACACTTCTTACACATCTTCAGCAAAGAACAAATTCCAAGTCTTTAAGTTCATTCTGAACCAAGTTTTGCTCAGGAACCTGCACCACTCCCACCAACACAGAGAGCTGCCCAATGTCTCCAAGGAGACAGGGATCCCAGTGCAAGCTGATGGGCAGTGAAACGTGCCTTTAGTCCAACTCTTCATCATTGTTGTGTGTTTTCATGTGGCCAACCCTTCTCATCCACAAGCAGGTGGAGCTCCTCACCCTTGAAGACTCTCAAGAAGCTTACCTTCTCTCTCCAGTGCCTGGCCACTCAGGATGTGCTCCACTGAGCTCATCAAAGGAACAGAGAGGCTGGTTTGGCTCCTAGAAGTGGGTCTAACCATGTCTGTCAGGCTTGGCTGTAAGGAGACTGGCTTGCTAGTTATCAACATACCATTAGCATCATCCATTCCTGACCATGCACTTGTGAAAAAGGATTTAAGAAAGTGCAGCCATTTTGGGACTTACTACTAAAACCTTTTTACATAAAAATCCGGGTGGTTCAACATCAACTATAACAATTTACAAGATGGTGCCCACCAAAAATGTACATTCTCCAAAAAGAACAAATTACAATAAATGGCAGCATTTTAGTATGCTCTGAATTTATTTCCACATTTGGAGAACTTAAAAGCAAATTTAGCTTTGTTGTTAATCTGTTAAACCTGTTAAATTTGGCAGAGGAGCCAACAAAGTCAAACAGTCATCCTGGTCTGGTCCCTGCTACTAGTAATGGGGCAGGGATGTAAAGACATCCATGTCGGGTCTCTGTCATGCTGAGCACTGGGGCCTGAGTTCTTCAAACAGTATGTTAGAAGATTAATCTTTACATGGAAACAATTAGAAGAAAATCACATCTTCTTTGCTGGTATCATCTTGCACGTTCAGGAGACTCGGCTGAGGGGTCACCAGGGTCTGGACGTGAAGGTTGTTGGGCTTGAGCAGGTTTGCTGAGGCAGGTGGGAGTGGTTCTGGCTGAGCATCTAAAGGGCTGTAAAATTCTACAAAAAACACGGAAGAAGAGGGATTCATGGCACTGCACAGACAGCCTGATGTGTTTCCATGGGTGTGAAGGTGAGTCAAGACATACCTGGCTGGAATGCAGGGGGCTGGCTACTGGGGAGGACAGGGCTTGCTGATCTTCTGCCCCTCAGGACACCCTCCTCTCGTCCCACCAGCCTGGGGGGAAGCAGCTGCTTCTGATCCACAGATGCTGAAGGAAATATGTTAGACATTAGTAACTGAGGCTGGCAGTACTTCATAAAGGTCACTGTTTCATGCTGGGGCCCACTGCACTGACACTGTTGCATAACCAAGGAAGCTGCTAGAACACAAGGACCTGGTGCTTCTGCTTCAAGTTGCTTAAATTTTCTCCTCAGCTGTTCAGACCACGAATCCTTCCTCCCTCCTCTCCCTTGAGGACTTGACTTCAGTCCCTGACAACCTCAGATTAAATACCTAGTGTTATAAAGCACAGCAGAGGAAAAAGTCCTTGTCCTTAGCATTCAAACAGCAATGGCTGTTTGTGCTACTCTGAACAGGCAGCAGAGGGATGCTGGTTTGGCCCTGCTCTCCAGCTGCCTCCCAGCTGCTCAGAATCAGGCACTGATCCTGGTGTTACAGCCTGTCAGTTCCTTCATTTCAACAATAAAAGCAATTCATGAAATGGTCACTCTGCATCCAAAGCACTCCTCCTAGTGCACATTCCTTACACGTCACAAAAACCAAATTCAATACATGGTATTTTGCCTCTGGTACAGAAAGTCTTGTTCCATTTTAGTCTGGGATCTACATATGGGCAATACAAACATGCATCTCCCACTAATACTCACAAGAGAATAGACACCAATAGCTTTGTGTTTTATACCTTCCACATCAATTCAATAAAAACATCATTAAGTACATTTCCATTGCAGAGATCATTAAGAGCTATTTAAAAAATGCAGTTGAGAGGATGTGGTATAAGAGCTTCATTTTCTCATTTACCAGCATTTGATATTCAGGGTAAAAGGATTTTAGGCTTCATTTCTGTGCAAGAACATAAGCAAGTTTGTACTAAACTTCAGGCATGACAAACATTACTTCAATGTGCAAAAGACCTTCCCCCTCCCTAGACAGTCTTGGCCCTCAGTCCACCATAGCAGTGCAGGTCCAAGAGAAGGGTAACTTTGCCAAGTCTGAATCCTATAGAAAGCTGAAAAGAGAATTTTGTAACTTAAAATTACAGGCTGTTCTCCTAAGCTGGCATTTAGGCTATTTTAGGGGGTGGAGAAAAAGTGGTTTTTTGTTGTGTCTGTCATTGGCAAAGATCACTACTTTAGTACCCAGCAGTTAGCACCAGAAATGACACCATGGAAGGGAGACTGTATTTTTACTTGCTTCTATTTCTGAGAGAAGGAGCCTCTTTCCACTCTGCAACACACACAGCAGCTCAGTTCTGGCCTGGAAACCTGTACTTAACAACTGACTGGTGCTAAGAAAGGCATGGCATTCAGTGTCACTACAACTCTGAACAGGGAGTGAAAAAAGGCTCAGCCAGCCTCAAACCGCTGCCCTCATGCAGAACAAGCCAAACAGTTGCTGTTTTCCTTTAATGCTACAGCTTGGCAGGCAACAATATTTTACACCCAGGTTTCCAAACTCTCACCATCATTCAGTCCTGCTGGATTACAGAATTCCACTTTCAACATTCTCCTTTTGGGCTACATTTCCAATGTAAATAGTAACTAATTCCACATATAACTCCTAACTGAAGGATTTTAAGAGTCTACTAACTGCAGAAAGCACACTTATAATTTGTAGCAGATTAATTTCTGGGTTCCACCCAGGCAGCCAGAGGTTTAAACTAGTGTTGTGTCTCCCTGTGATGCTGGCAGAGATCAGAAATGCACTTCAATACACTTACCTGAGCTGTCTGTCCTATGAGATGCTTTGTTCTTCCCACCTTTCTCTTTGCTTCCTTTTGTGAAAGTGGCCAGTTTCGTGGGAATCTGCTGCTGAACTGCAGCTGGTTTCTGGATCTGATTAGTTGCACTCAGGAGATGGATTGGCACTTCATTCTTCAGTGCCAGGGCTGGCCGGTTCTCCAGGCTGGTACTGTCCCTACGAACCAGGTCTGGCCTCTCCAGGTAATCCAGCCCAGAGACACTCACTCTCACTGAGGTTTTCATGACAGGTAGAGATGGTTCCATCCCTTCTCCATTGAAGCTCATGGAATGACTCAGCATCTGGCTCTGTGTGAGGAAAAACCTTCTTCATGTTCTGTGTCAAATGGGTATTTTCATCCTCTCAGGTACAATGAGAGACCACCCCCAGCCCTGAGAGCATAAAGCACTTTCTGGTGAAAAATATAACAATATAACAGCTTCTCTGGGCAACCTGTTCCAGGGTCTCACCACCCTCACACTCAAGAATTTCCTCCTCATGTCTCACCTCAATCCCCTCTGCCAGTTTTCATCCATCTCCCTCATCCCATCCCTCCCTGCCCTTGTCCCAGGTCCCTCCCTAGCTTTCCTGGAGCCCCCTAAGGCACTGAAAGGTGCTCTAAGGTCTCCCTGGAGCCTTCTCTTCTCCAGACTGAACTACCCCAGCTCTCTCAGACTGTCTTAATAGGAGAGGTGCTCCCAGTAAAAAGCCAGCATGGGTTAGTTGTGCAAAAAGAGGCAGAAGGTTCATGGAAACAAAACTCCACAAAACCTCCTTTCTCACCTGTCCCATTTCTGGGGAGAAAGCGCCTGACACCGTGTTCTGCTTCTTCAGCTTCCTTAGCTGATCCAGACGCTCCTTCTCTTTCTCCACTGCTCTCTGTGCCTCCCTCAGCCTCTCCAGGTCGTGCTGATAGGCCTCTCGCTGCCTCTCCAGCTCTTCCCTCTCCTGGTTCAACTTCTCTCTCAGCTGCCGCGTCTCCTCCTCGCGCTCCTGCAGCCGCGCTTCCGCGCTCCCGAATTCCCTCTGCTGCCGACTCTTCTCACGCTCCAGGCGTTGCTGCTCCAGCTTCAGCTGGTTCTGGAGTTTCTGGACATTCATCAGTTCTTCTCTTTGTTTTTCAAAGTTCCTCTGTTTCTCCTGCTCCAGCAGCAGGTTGCCCCGTGTAGACTGCAGCCGGTATTGCTTCTCGCGGTCTGCCATGGTGGCGCGTTGCATCTCGATGTAGCTGTCCTGCTGGGATATCACTGCCTGCAGGGAAGTGAGGAGCTCAGCATAAGGCACATGGGTTAAAAAAAACCACAGGCACAGCTAAAGAAAAGACAACAGCATCTACCTTATTAGATCAGAGAGACTTTTGTCTTCAAGAGCTTGTACAGCCCATCATGACTGACATGAAGTGATGCTTATGCAAGGCAAAATGAACACCTCATAGAACCATAGAAGGTGTGGGGTTGGAAGGGACCTTGAAAGGTCATCTAGTCCAGCCCCCCTGCAGTGCACAGGGACCTTATTAACTAGATCAGGTTGCTCAGAGCCTGGTCAAGCCTGAGCCTGGATGTCTCCAGGAATGGGACCTCCAGCACGTCTCTTGACAACCTGTTCCAGTGCTTCACCACCCTCGTTGTGAAGAACTTCTTCCCTATATCCAACCTAGATCTCCCTGCTCTACTTTAAGGCCATTGTCCCTTGTCTCCTTGCTACACACCCTTGTCAACAGCCCCAGGTTTCCTGGAGCTCCTCCACGTACTAGAAAATTAGTGCTCTGAATCCAACCAGCCCAAATATTATTGATTACAAATAATCACCAATACAACTAGTAAATTCAGATGAGTCCATCAACAACAATTTTAAGAAATGAGCAGAGAGGGCAGTCAGAGCTCCAAGCAGCAGCAGAACTGCATTTAAGTGGGCAGGAAAAAGGAAGCAATTACTTAAGACAACAGCTCTAACACTTCCTGCATAACACCAGGCACAGTGTTTGCTTCCTGGAGTGTCAGGTCTTAAATTCTGCACTTCACTCTAGCTTTAAGGGATATTTTATGGCAGCTCCTCTCCACACTGCCCGAATTTCATTACATTTCATGCCTAATGAACCTTTTGGACAGTAAATAGTGGTTTACCTGGAGACTGAAGAGCAACTGTAACAGTGTCTGTATCCTTTGGACAAGCTGAAGAGGAGGGGAAGGAAAAAGGACACTTAACAGAGCTCTGTTTTGATGTATTAACCTCTTTTAAACAGTGAAAACCACCACCAGCATCTGTATAAAAACACACCCAAGATAAGCATGGCTACATGGGTACTCTAAGGCAGCAAGAACCAGCACAGCAATATGAAGCATGATGAATTTCAGCATCTTAGTCCCTGCAGATGAGCACCAGGATTCCAGAGAAGAATCTGCATTGAGTTTTCTGCACTTGAGCTATTTAATGATCACTCCCTCCCATGCTCAGCACTGAATCACTCCCTGCACAGGCACAGCACTCACAGGAGGCTGGGAGGCAGGTTTTGTCAGTGAGCTGAGAACACACAAGCTTTCCAAAGAGGCAGAGGTAGTCAGCCAGTCTGCACAACCAGAACCCATCTTTGTTTTCTAATGGGACTTACCTCTGTCTTCATAATATGTTAGATCATCAGGCACAGGCTGTTGTGCTTGTTGTTCCCCAGGCATTAAGAATACTGAGATTTTGGTGTTTGGTTGTTTTTTTTTGGTTTGGTTTTACATGCTATTATTATAATATGGCTATTTCCCATCAGCTTTCCTACCAGCAGAAGTAACATACCTGAGACTCTATGGTGGGCTGAAACCCACTGCTGTCATCCAGCCTTGTTCCATCACTCTGCAAATGAGACACAAACAACAGAGACACTCATTGGGCACTGGCAGTGCTGCCAGAACAAGCTGGAAGGGCTCATCTCACTAGGGAGCAGCATTTAGCACTGGAGCAGAGGTTTTTCCTCTACACCGAAGGACATTTATCAAGAATACTTTAATGAGAAGTCAGCCTGAGCCAAATGTGTGGTGATCAAAGTGAAATGTTAATCATACAGCACCAAATGAACAAATGTAACACCAAACTATCATGCATCTCAAGTGCTGAGCTATCAACTTGCCCTTACAAACCATCCTTGATAGAGTCTAGTAACTGGGCAGACAGAACTCTTGTCACAGTCCAGTCCCACCAGCTGTTACAACTTTGAGCTTTGTGGGGTTTATTCTGACCACTATGATGAAGAGGAAAGTGAGGAAATGCATTTAAATGGGACATAAGCCCAACGTACAGTTTGAGGTCCTTCTTCTGCATCAGAGGGGAGGTCATGGAGCTGCACATCTGAGCTCACTGCAGGGCCTCTCCATTCCCACTGCCTCTGGTCACCACTGCTGTTCTTCCTAGAACTACCACCTGAAAGAAGAGTGGAGTATGAGCAGCTCACGCCAGGGCCTGCAAAAATCCTCTGCATAACACAGCAAGCAGGAAAAAAAGGTGACTTTCAGGTTAGAACCAAAAATATGCAACTGCATGGCATGTCCATGCTGCTTCCAAGTGGAAGAGGAGACAAGTGAGAAGCAGGACTGCTCAAAAAAGTAAAAAAACTTGAGAAGAGTGGGTTAAGATAAATAGGGAGAGTAAGTTCAAATTACATTACACTATTTTAAGTGAAGCAACCACCATGTCAGCATGAAAATGATCCTCTGTGGCTGCCAGAATTGCAAGCTCAGAACATGGAATACTTTTTAGTAGAAAAATTCTAGTTAAAGCAGCACCAGTGTGAGCATGGAAGGAGGCAGGGGGAGACAGAAACCCCAATGTATAAAGAAGTATAGTATTACATTTACAGAGAGACAACAAAAAGGATTCTAGAGGTTCACAACCAGTGAAATAAACACCATCCTATTTCTTAGTAAATGCATGAAGCAAAAATGGAGATAAATAGTATCTAGTATTTCCACTTACTCCATTAATTAAGTGATCAGTGCCAAAAGGGCAATTTATGTTACTCAGCAACCCTCTAGTGACTGTGCAGACACAAATAGAAGTGGAAAAAAAAGTTTTCATGAGCCAATAATAAAAACCAAGCAGCTGAATTCAAATTTCCTAGGTTTTCAGGTTGAGCTGCTTTATTTGTTTTCCCAACAAAGTTAAAATTCTGTGTGGAATTGTGATAATTAGAAAGTATCATTTAAGGTAATGCCCTTAGCATAGCACCAAACCAGAGCCCTACTCTGCTCTCTAGTGTTGGTATGGGAAGCAAAACATTCAACATGATAATAGCACAAATTTGCTCTAATCATTCTCTTAGAGCCTGGTGAAATTTCCTTATATCAGAGCCTAACATTTTTCTTCTCTCTTTCTCTGCACAGAGAAAATGAGTGAAGACCTAAGAAGCTCAGAAAAATGCTGAATGGTCCCTTTCTTACTTTTATTTGAAATTGAGGGACTACTGTCATAGCCTCCAAAGGTCTCTGCCCTCCTAGGGAGCCCTGACCCAGACACATCTTCAGGCTGACAGGATCCACAGCCCAGGTGAGTGAAGATCAGGTTCTGGAGATTTTCAGCTAGGAAAGAGGAGAACATGCCATGTCAACAGCCAGGTCTATGCAGTGAGACAAATGCATAATGTTAACAAATTAAAAAGTAACATTCCAAGCATCAAGTACATTAAAAGATTGGGCAGTTGGAGAGACTTCCTGCAGTACAGATGAATTTTCCTTTGTGAGCAGCTCTGTACTGCAGGCTCTTCTTACTGCACATAGAAAGATAACCTCTTCCTTAACTGCAGGTTAGATTACCAACCTTCAGTGCTTGCTGTTTTTTTTTCTTTTTCCAAAATAAAAATCATGTTTGTGCTTATTTTCTTTCTAAATATACTATCTTTAGAGAGGCTATTTTAATATAGAACTCTCATATAATATTATATTTCAGGACTGGTCTATTATTAAGAGTTCTCTGTTAACCCATCTGAACAGACTCATCCTAAGGCTCCAGTGGTTGATCTTTAAAAATCAAAAATCCAAGGTGTGAGGAGGTTCTCTACCTATAACCATCTGTCTTGCAGATTGGTTCTGAGAATAAGGAAGTCTGAACAGTGTTACATAAAAGCATTATGTTATTACAGGATGCTTTTCAGGCCCTGTACTTAGATCCTACGTGCTTATCCCCACCCTTGCATCTGAGTGAACATCCACACTCACCTTCTGTCACTGCAGACTTCAAGATCACCTCCCCCTGCAGGTTTTCTGAGGTATCCCCCCGAAGCAGCAGCCTGGATCGGGATCCTTGGGAATGGTCTTCAAACCCATTCATTTCAGACATTTCCAGATAAATCTGCTGCTTCTCAGTCAGACTTTGTAGGATCAGGTCATCTTTCATGTTCAAACGCTCTAAAGGAAGAAACAAACTCAGTTCTGCCTTCCTAATCACTGCCAGAGCACAACATCCAATCTGGAAGATGATTGTTTATTTTATGGGCAGAGCATCAAACGCAGAGAGATAATTAACAGTTGAGGGGAAAACTCAGGGAGCCCACAACACTTACTGGACTTATTTAACTATTTCTATATAATCTTGCACTACCCTGAAAGACTTATGAAGGAGAAACTCGATCACATTGTGTGATAAAGGCATGAAGGATGGTCATCAATCACAAATGATGCTGGGAAGCAGTTTGTGGAATATATAACTAAGCCATTACCTTGAAAATCTTTTAACTTGGCAGCTCTTGCTTCAGCCAGCCTCCTCTCTGCTTCAGGTTCATTAAGTGTTCCTCCTTCTTCATCAGGACAGCTGTACAAAGGGGGAAGACACATACACATTTGGTTTACATATTAGATAACTTAAAAACATCTCTGCATTCAACCAGAAGCTCTTGCCTAGGGCGTGATTTATCTTGTGGATCAGTCCTCCTCCCTTACCCAAAGCCTTGTTACATTTAACATCAGTGAACCACATTTTTTATTTCTTTTTTTTAAAAAGAGCAGAATTAAGTCTTTGCCTGCTTTCTATTGCATCTTTATGGATGGTTTCTTCCCACCAAACAAACAGAACCACAAGCTTCAGTCTGACAAAGGAAGTTTAGGGACAGTCAAATGGATCTTTACAATAAATTTCCACCTCAGAGTCCTGCAAACAGAAGACTGATGAGCAAGAAATCCCTCTTGCCTTTCCCTCCTAAATTACCTTTCTACAGCTCTGCGGATGTGTGCCATCCAGGAATTCCTCTCCTCTTTTGAGCTAGTGTGAATTTCATACATCTCTGGTCCTTTTAAGGAAGCACTAATTAAGAACATTGCCTTTTCCTCATTAGCGACCTCTCTTACAATCAACTTTTGCAGTGAGATAACTGGTGGTTTAGAGTCCTGGAAAACAAAATACAATTTACTGCACTACATGATATATATTCTTTAGGGTTTGCAGTTCTTAGTTCCCCCCATCTTCTATTTATACAGGGCACCATGAGCTGTAACACCACAGCACTATAATGTTACTGGCCTCTTCACATGACACTTTCAAAAATTGTCATTTTTTTACTCATCAACCATAAAAAACATGGAATGAATGTACATTCCAGATTAAATATTAAAAGCATCTGATTGAATATTAAAGCCTGGATCAGTTTAAACAGCTGAGGATTTCCACTGGGCATCAGAAGTCAAGAACAGGCCCAAAAACTTTGTTCAAAAAGAGGCCAAAGCAAAATTTGTTCAAAAAGAAAACAAAAGTGAAATGAGAGAACAAAAGAAAGTGTTAGAAATTCTTAAGGTAGCAAGTTAGATAGGAAAAAAAACCAAAATAGAGGTGTTACAGTGTGCAATCAGGCCCTGTGAATAACAAAACAAGGTGACAAATCATATATTGGGTAACTAAGGATTAACTGGATTAACTGTCAGTCTTTGCCATGAAAATAAATTTACAGAGGGATATTAGTTACAAATAACCTATCCACACAGCACAGGTCCAACATAGGCAGCCTAGAAAGATCCTCCCCAGAAGAACACATTTCCTTGTAACTGCTGAACCTTCCCAGACCCCTCCAACTGAACCTTCACAGCATAATCTAGACTGACAAAGAGAAAACTGAACTGTGAAGGAGCCACCAGGAACATGGGGCTTTGCCAGCTCCTCTGAGCAGCTGCCCTGCAATTCCAGACATAAGCACAGGTCACTGGAACAACAGAATCACTGAGCAAATCCATTTGCTCCTCTCACTCGCTTGATTTATCTATGGAAAAGTGATACCTACATTTCAAATAAGCTACATAAATCCAAAGATGCAAAACATGGATCAGTCTGTAACTGTAGAGCATATTACTGGAGGGAAAAAAACCCCACCATGGAGCAGAGATCAGAGATTTGTGAAAATATCCCCATTCTGTACATTAGGAGAAGGGTAATTTGAAAAGCAGTTGGTTATTTTTGCAGCCCTGAGGTCACCAGTATAACTGTTGCCATTAAACTTGGCTCTAATGTTCATGTCTTGAAAAAAAACACACCCCAGAAAGCAATGACATAAAATGTTTTCTTAGTTTCTGATTTATAGAAATTTACAGCCACAACTGAACTAGATCAGGACAAAATGTGCACAATTAACTGCTCTGAGGATACCTGTGGAAGTGCCCTAGAAAAGCAAGTGGATCCACTGAGTGTTCTAGAGTGCTGCAGTAATTAATGTGATTTGGTGCATATCAAATTCACTTCGGGGAGGTTCTCTGCCCCCAGGAAATCTCAGGCTCTACCTGTACTTCTTCTGTACTTACTGTCACTTTCACAAATACCATAAGTCAATGTATTAAGTAAGAAGAGCAACACCTACCACTGATGCAAATGTGTATTTTTGGTCCTTTTCTTGCAAGAGCAACAGTACATCAGTTAACAGGACTGCCAGGATATCTACAGCAACAACAGAAAAAAAAGGGAAAAAAAAAAGTGGATTTTAAAGCAGCAAGACTTGTACAGACACAAAAATCACTCACATTTCCTGTGGGTCAGGGAATAGGTCAACATTTGCAGTATTGGCTCTGCTACTGTCTTGAATTTGGGCTTGTCCACAGAGAGCTTGCAGCCCTGCAGAACCAGCACAATAAGCAGATTCTTCTGGAACCTCAGATGTCCACAGAACCACTTATCCATGGTTGCCTTTTATGTGCCATTGAAGCTTCTCCTTGAACACCTGAAGCTGTTAAAATACTCACTGAGGGACACTGTTCTGATCTGCTGGCAGAACAGACATCCTGCAGAATGAAGGTGCCATGGGGGTTGATAGGACACGATTTCACCAAGTGTGAACCACAGCTCACACAAGATAATGCCTTTCCACAGGAGACTAAGTCAGGATGACTCAAAGCTTTGTCATCTACCTGAAGACCTCCCTCTTGAATTGGAAAGCAGACCAGGCAGATAATAAGCAAACAGCATAAGGAACTTGTCATGCTTATAGAGATGCTTATTGGACAAGCCAAGAATAGAACAAGTGCTATTTCCTCCAATATCCTATTAAACAAGCAGGTTCCTGTCATCATCTTTTATACTCAATCGATCAGTAATAAACAGTTACTAAAAAAAATTTAAAAAAATTAGTTTCCTAGTGGCACTTTTCCCCTTCTTGGCCCTTTACCTTTGAGTCGTCCTGATGCAGCTTTCCAGTAGAGCATCCCATCCAGCAGCAGCCTCCTCTGGCCCATGTCATCCTTCCGGAATAAAAGTCCATTTTTGTACTTCCCAGATGATTTCAGCTCCATTTTGTGCATAATCTCTTTCAGGCGTTGCCCCTTCTCACACTCATTTACCATGGCATCCACATGGGTGATTGTGTCCTTAATTAAACTGAGGGCCTGGGTCAGCTCTTCATAATCTCTAGTTCCAGCTAAGAGAAAAAGAGCAGCCATCAGTCACATTTTCAACTCTGGAATGCAAGATACGAGACACCCAAACATCTTTTAACATGAAGGTTCCATATTGAACATCTCACAGTATTTCCTAAGAGGTTAAGTTTAAAAATAAAAGAAAACAAAATACCCTGAAGGTCTAAATCCCTCATGAACTGACAGGCTTAATGACTATGGTTTTGTGGTTGCAGACTTGGCATTTAATTGTGCTCCTGACCCTCTGCTGTGGGACGTGCATCTAAAATAGCATCTCAAGCTAACAAGAAGTGAGAAAGCCTGTCCCCCATCTGAGGAAAGAACACACAGAACATGGGAGAAAGGACCAGGAAGACACTGTGAGGCTTCCAGGAAAGCTCAAGGAACCCACCTTCTGTGTTCTGAATAATACGGTCCACCAGGACCGGGTACTTGGTGATGCGCTGCGTCACCAGGAGGATGCACTCCTGGACACCAAGTCTCCTCACAATGGAACAGTTGCCAATTTTCTGGAAAACAGGACAGACCCATCACAGCCACTGCACACACTGCTCTAACTCCCTCACCTCCCCATTCACACACGTTCTGTCTTTGTACAACGAGGCACAGCACCACAAGATCAGCTGCGCTCTTTTACTAAAGTAAAACAGCAAAAAAAAATAAGCTTTAATTACTAGAAAAATATTTGAGGTATAATTTTCAACTGCTGTTAACTAGATCTGGAAACAAGCAGAGACAGTTCCACATCTGAAATGTTTGACTGCCTATCTGCTAACTGCTGATTACCTTTTATAACAGAATCAGTCCTTAAATAAATACATAGAATAGTACTATATTTTTAAAACCAGATTCAAACATCCAACAGCCAAATTAGGTTAATAATGAATAAACTACATCTATATTTTACCACTGTAAGTTCATCAGAGGGTTGATTTACAGAAACTTGTTTCTGCTTAGAAAGGGAAGATGATCTTTAAGGTCCCTTCCAACCCAATTCTCTGGAATCCCACTATTGAGCCTGACTGCAGAGCAACACTGGCAACTGAACCAGTACCAAGATTTTTCTTTATGAAAGCTGAGTTTATATATTTAAAAAATTTACTCTGATGACTTATTTACTTCCTTGAAAGTGTTCTCACTTTTAAAGACACCTAGTTCAGAGGAGCTGTAGGTATAGAGCCACGTTGGAAAGTTCACACAGTATCACTTACTGCTGAGTGGAAGATGAGAACACTCAGGGCCCTGCAAAGCCACCTGAGCCTCAGGTTACAGCTCCACTCTGCCCATGTCTCCTCAGCCCTTCCTGTTCTGCTTTTTCCTGTAGTGGTTCATCCACAGCATTAAACGTTGATTTCATTTATTATCCAGCCAATTGACAAAGATTGTGACACAGCAGTGCAGCCAGTGAGAGAGCCAGGAACAGAACAAATCCCCTATTATTCCCCAGTCCTATGTGCCCTCAAGTGCTTGCCTCAAATTTAACACTTACTAATTGTGGCTTTGTGTCCAAACAGCTCAAAAGACATAAAACACAAGAAGAGAACCACCCATCAGGTAAGGAGAAGCTGCCTCTAACACTGCTCATTCACATTTAAGAGGTCTTCAAGTCCAAAATAAAACCTAGAATGATCAAGTATCTTCTGCACAGTCAGAATGGGAGACTTCTGGTTGTTTACCTTTATTAAGTTTTGGAACTTCTTATTGCTTTGGAGCAGGTCTTTATAGTGGCTAACAGCTTCATTGTGTCCACAACAGAACACACCATACTTCTCTTTCATTCTCTCCCCATTTTCACCTGAAAACTAATTGGAAATACCAAAAATGAAAGACAGGAATCATGAAGAGCAAACCACCCTCCACTGCAAAACCCAGGTGGAACATGCTTTTATGGTAACTGATTATGGGGACATTTCTTCAATATTTCAATTTATTCTATCTCAGAAATGAGAGATTTAAGCAGTGTGACATCTGAGAGCTTGGAATACCCCCAGATCACCAAATATTAAATGATTGTTATCACATGATGATAATTTTTTTAAAGGATTTCTGGGCCCCTGCAATTAAAAAGACTGTAAAAGGGGAAAGGCAAAAACCAGTCAGGATATATGAAATATCTGCATCCACTCCACAGTAAAATGGGTGCAAAAGCTGTTAATCAGTTCAAAGGATCTTCACTGCATTTTTAAAACCAGGCAGCTCAGCATTAAATGCAGGATGGACACCAGGAATAGATTACTTTACTTTTGGAACAGATGAAAACCAGAGCCAAACCATCTGTAGGTGCATATCCCACAACATGCCCAAACAACATTTAATGCACCTTTCATGTTATTTAGGACCAGATACACTGCTGGGAAAATCATCTTAAAGCCCATATTAAATCAACCTTTACATAACAGAACTTTAACCTTACAGTTAGTTTATTTAGAAATGTATAGTGTTAAGGACATTGGTAGAATTTAATTCACACCTGCTTGACCAAGAGGTCTCCAATGTTCTGGATTATATAATTTTGGTCACTGCCTTCTTCCAAGGATTCCTTCCGTCGCTGCTTTAACTGGAGCAGGAACTGCCCATGGAGCTCCAGCAGCTCGTCCACACAGGGGAAGAGCTTGTTGATGACTGCATTGGGGAACTGCAGTTCCTCTCTCATGGCTTTGGAGTACACCTTCAGCATTATCTTCAGTGTCCTGACATGGTGCATTTCAGTCTGCATCAGCTCTGGGCAAGGGGAAATACAAAATTCCAAAGTCATGGATGTGCTGTGCAGTGAGGAGATAGAGAAGAGCAGGCTCTGGAAGCCACCATCTTTTGCACCTCCTTCTCCACCTCAATCTTTGCACACCTGATGTGAAGCTCCTAAATTTGCCCTGCTCATCTCCCAAACAGTGACTGTCCCTAATTATTTAACATCTTCCAGCTGAGGTTGAGCTATTCCCTAACTGGAGAGTTGGGCTTTGCTCCTTACAAGACGTACTGGAAACTATGGGTGGCTTAAAATCAGTAACAGAAGGACTTATGCACACTCAGACAGGTAACACACTTGAAAATCTTCTCAATTTTGGTTTTCAAGCACACTCCAAAGTGGCAGCCAATAAATACCATTATTTCTGCCTTCTTTCAAACCAGTGGCACTATGAAAAAGTTATAAGAATTTAAAAAAATAACAAATTATCTTACCATAAATCACATCCTGCCTTTTTATAACTTCTTTCTTTTGCCTTTTTGCATAGGGCTGCTCCACTGCAACACTCCAAGACTCTGCCTCAAACTCATGAGCATCTGCTTCTATTTCATTCCGGAGAGACACAAAATATGCATCTAGACCAAAAGCACATTCCATGTCAGTTGTGATTGTTTCCCACCATATCCTTCATTATCATCATTAACAACAGCAACAAAAAACAAAAACATCTCAGTGCTGCTTTAAGATTGTATAAGAAATGTCATAAAAACCCTGAAAAGAATAGAAACCCCATAAAAATCCTGAAAAGCACAGAAATTCCATACCTTCCAGAAAAGTGGAGTCTGCTGTTGTAGGTGCAAGTGAGACAACATCATCTGAAGTCTGCTTAAATTTTATAAAGCCTGAATCTCCTTCATCCATGTCTCCTGGAATTAGTCTAAATGGCCAAAGAAATTAGACCAAAGGACCAAAACAGAACAGTAACAATTTTTCCCAAGTTCCTTCAAAAGAAAATCTAACTACTTTAACAAGCATCTTTCCTAAACTTCAGTGCAATGCACTTAAAAGAAATATATAAAAGCTATGGTTGCACTTTAAAACAGTCAATTTAGCAATTCCATCACTGAAATATTACAGCTTTAATCAGAGCAGCACGAGTGAATATGCAACTTCTGGGATGACATTTTATAAAGACATCACCTGGTGACAAACCCCAGCCAGTTCAGAGCACAAAGGGCACTTTCACTGAGAAGGGAGCATAACTGTGGCACAGAAAAACTAAACAACTCCTTAAAACAGCAGATAGCTTTGAATAAGCCTACTATTTTAATCAAGGTATCCTGCAATTTAAAACCCTGCTGTCTCCTCCACTAGCCAGAATGAGCACTACCTAGAATAACTCAACTCAGATCACTGAATTTCAACAAGTCTGAGGACAAATATACCCACACAAACCATCAGTTAGACAGAGATACTCAAATACTGCCCTATTTTGTATGATATCTTTTTTTACATAGTGCAGAGGGACTAAAGACAAGGTGATTGACATTTAAAAATATAGCTTAGATTTAATTCTTTTTAACCAGCTTCCTGTTTAGGAGATATTTAGAATTAATTGCACCCTTAAAAGCTCCGTGAACCTCTTTTGAGGTTTAGTTCTTGCTTCAGTTCTCTAAGCAGTTTTGGGAGGGGAGGGGGGGAGCAGCAGAATGAGGAGAAAAAACAGTTGACTTACCCCAATTTGCTAACAGCTCCAGCAGGATTCAAAGGAGCCTGAGAATTTCCTCTCTGGGCGATAGTCATGCCGAGATTCCGTGACAGTCCTGGGGTGCCATCCGGTCCCAGGAGAAGACTTCGGGGCTGCTCCTTCAGGGAAGCTGCTAGAGAGGCAAAAATGGAATTGGTGCTCAGAAAATGAGGTGTGCACTGCAGCTCCCCTGCTCTCAGCCCTCGCTCGGAATGCGGCCGGAGAACGGACAGGATCTTGGAGGTCAAGAGCTCGTTGTCCAAAAAAACATTCTCATTCCATTTTCTTGAAAAGGAACCACAAAAAGAGAGCTCAGGATGAGCTGGAATTGTGTTGCTTCTGCCGCTGCTTTTTGAATTTGTATTCCCCATGCTCACCACTGGCTGCCCTCAGACTTGGCACAGTAAAGTGGCCCCAGAGATGCAGTGTTTTTATACTACCTGTGATCCTTCTAGAAATGTAAAGCTGCCACTTAACTTACTGTATTGGCTAAATCAGCAGGTCTGAAGTGCAGGAAATTGGTCCCTACTGTGCCCATTTAGTGTGGAAATTGCAAAGTATCTTCTCCTTTAGTAAAACACCAGAACCTACACACAATTATTCACACCCTCCCCTATCAGGGCACAGAACATTTCATGGCAAACAAGAAAAATCTGAGAGCACATAAAACCCCCAAGTTCTCTGCAATGCTTATTGCTACACAGAGATTTCTATCTGCATGCACACACACTAGATGTAACAGATATCAGGGCTAAATTTAATTTTAATACTGCAGCTTTTTAATGCTTTTTAAATCTAGGCAGACTGTGAACTGGAAAGATATTTAAAACCTTAATCACTATTACACAATACATGGAAGCCTGTAATAGACTTATAAAAAATGGATACAATTATTTAGCACTAATGTCTGTAATGAATGATAAGGAACAAGAGACAAAATACATCCTTTTAAAAAAGGAACTTCAGGGAAGTCAAAGATGAAGAATCAGCCAGACAATCTTTAAAACTCACTACTGACAAGGTCTGCAGCTGCTGTTTTTTCAAAGTGCTTTTAAGGACATGGGAGTGGAAGAGATCTCATGGCTCCCTGAACCCAGGACTCTGCCATGGACTCCTGGTCCAGGGCTGTGTCTGGGAGGTTGCCTGAGGACCATGCTGCTGGAGCAGCTCAAGAGGGGCCTACAGGGCAACTGGAGAGGGACTTTGAACAAGGGCAGGGAGTAAGGGGACAAGGGGGAATGAATTAAAAATGGAAGAGGGGAGATTTAGGTTGGACATGAGGAAGAAATTCTTCACTGTGAGGGTGGTGAGACACTGGAACATGTTGCCCAGGGAAGCTGTGGCTGCCCCATCCCTGGAAGTGTTCAAGGAGAGACTGGACCGAGACTGGAGCAACCTGGTCTGGTGGGAGGTGTCCCTGCCCATGCAGGAGGGTTGGAACTAGATGATCTGTAAGGTTCCTTGCAACCCAAACCAGTCTGTGATTCTGTAAGAGTCTCTCCAGTTCCCAGCCAAGGTTTATGCACCACCAATTTCCAACTTTTCTTGTGAAAATACTGGTGTGCACCCATCCCCACAAGTCTGCATTCCTCTGTGTTCTTCCACTAACAAACATCTTTCCCTCTGCTTCAGCCTTGCTCAATCAAACACAGCTAAATCAAGGTATTCATGTTTCCTCTCATAAAACAGGTTTTACCACATTGCTTGATATCCCATATCCTACATCTGCTTGTCTCTCATTTCATTGTCCTTGAAACAGTTGCCTAGAAAATCTTATTAGGGCTGCAGGGGAGGTTTCATCAATGACATTTAATAGAGATTATATCACTGCGCTGAAAATACCTTTCCCAATACCCTTTGGGTTTGAAATTTCTTGGCTACACACACAGCACATTCTCAGTCTACCCAACAAGCTGGGTAAACTGAGTCCTCTGCCATCATCTCCAAGGGACAAGCTCCAAGACTACTGTCCCCAAAGAGGAGACTAAGTAGATATTAGCAAGAATTGTAAGGGTGTATTTCTTAAACAACAGCTTAATAGTAAATGTCCTCCCGTTTCCATTTGGGGAAGTATTGAAATCAGCAGCCATCACATTCCCTTTCTGTGCTCCACAAGCCAAGGACATAAAGTTCTGCTTCACAACTCTAGGCCAAATCTAAACATCTCCAGAGGCAAAACATGGGGAGGGGGACTGGGGGGGATGACACATACAACCAAGACAGCTTGTACCTTCCTTCAAACACATTTCTTTTTTATCTTGTTACAATATCTTTGGCTTTTTGTGCTGGGCACTGCAGTCTGCAGCATTACACTGTGGGCACAGACATACAATGCCCATGTTAATAGTTGTTCCTTCAACTCCCAGCTCCTGCTTTTGACTATGGAAAATAAGCCCCAGCTGCCTAGCAGAGTCTGCACCAGCAAAAAGCCATTTTCTGAGTTCAATTAGCACTGTCTGCACACTGCTGAGAGCCCCTATCGATCGTTGTTAACCTATCACACCAGACCAGACTGTGTACCACAGAGCTGTTTCAACGACCAGCCCTACAGCCAACTTTTCCTATTTCCATTATGCCTTATTGTTTGCTATTTTAGTCACTGCACTTTCCCCTAAATGCATAGAACCTTTCTTGGTAATGTAAACAGCTACTTATCTTCTTGTAACAATTATTGCCTCGGTGCTGCTTCTTGGTAAGGACTGCTTCATAAAGAAGGGCACTTGGCAATGCAAGTCAAATGATACCTAACAAAAACATGTGAAAAACACATAGTAATTCTCTGACTTGTATGTCAGCTGTGTTTCTTCCAACCAGCAAGGCCACTAAACAAATCAACTGCAAGGCAGAAAATAATTCTGCTCCAGTCACAGTCAATCACCTGAGAGTCAAGAAGCCTGTTCTATTAATACAGACCTTGTAACATCTACCAATTAAAATGCCTTTTAAATCATACACCCATGGCCACAATGGTCTTTTCCAGCAGCAAAAAGCTATTTCAAAGCCTATGCTGCAATACAGCTGCTCTTTCTTCTTCTTTTTTTCCCTCCCAGATCCCTTTTCCCACTTTATTTCAACACAGATTTATGGTCAGACCATTAGTGCTAGCTTGTCTTAGAGACTTCTAGCAACCACTAGCTGCAGGCAAGTTTTAAATAGACAATTATGAAAATCTGATGTAAAACAAAGTTCACAGTTCTAGTCTTTTCAGAGGCCAGAGAATAGACAATCAATGAAAAACTAGCTTATTGATCCCTTTTCACCATGATATTTTGAGGTTACACAGCAAGAAGGTATAAAGAAAAATAAAAAGATAAAGAGATAAAAACACACAGGAGATTGCCAGGAGCCTCTAAGCCATTCCCAATAGAAAAAAAATGAAGCCATCTTATTAAAAGAGACCTTTTCTATACTTCAATAACACCCTGTGTCTAGCCTTTAAAACATATTAAAGACAAAAAAATACAATTGAACAGATAAGCCTTGAGCACAGAAATCATTCTTTAGTACAAACCTGGGGAAATGCACTGGGGTGAACTCTGTGGAGATCCAGAAGGTCTGTGCTGCAAATCCTTCTGTTAGAGGGAAAAAATACAATATTCTCACATATCCAGACCAAACTTTCAGCTGAACAGGAATCATCTTTTCCCTATCATACAGCACTAACTGGAAGGGAAGCTGTATATTGAGAGCAGGAAAGATTTGACTCAGGAAGCTTGGATTTTTTGCACATTCCAGAAAGAATCAAATAGAGACATTCACACTTTGTATAAAAATCCCATCATGTATCAACCAGACTGAAATAGAACAAAAAAACTAAGTGACAGCTGAATTAAAGCTATTATCATAAATAATTTATAAAATGAAACCAAACCCTCTATGTAGGCACCCTTCACCTACACTTTGCTGCTGTTCAGTTTACAGCAGTACTAACTAAACTAACCCAGCCAGTTCCAACCAAAATTTAGACTATTAATTTAAAATTGCATCTCTGATACTCTATACAACTCTCTCCTTCTTACAACACTAGGGTATTACAATTCATTAAGATACAATTTTTTTAAGATGCAAAGAAATTGAGTAAGTAATGCAGTCTGTAACAAATAGCTTTTTGGGAGTCTTGCTTCACTTTGAGGATCTCATTCCTGCCTTTATTCCCCTCATCATTTTGTTCTACTGCTCCCTCTTTGCTCTCTTCAGAAGTGGTTTGGAAGGGCTGATTCAACCATTACAGTTTGGGAGACAGAGTAGAAAGCATCAGAGCAAGTGAATTTTTTAGGTTTAAAAAGAAAATGCACAATGCCTAGAGAGGTTTGAAAGTCTGTATCAAAAACCCAAAAAGAACATTTCTGCCCTCAAAAGAGTTACATTCTAAATCACCAACAGCTGAAATCACCTTCTCTAAGCTCTAACTGCCCAGGTTTGAGCTGTTCTGCTCTGTTCTCCTCCTCACAGTACTCCCTAATCTGCTATCAGCCTCTGAAATCATCAACACTTGCAGGTTAAAGCAAACTAAAACTCCCTCAAGTATAATTAGTTGTAAGAAGGAGGAAATTATTTTCAAAACCAATACCAGAAGAAAAAAAAACAACAACACAACAGAGAGCTGAAAGCAACCTGTGACCTTACATGCAATCACAGGCATCATGGGGACACAGATGAAAAATGAACAGTTTAGCAAGACAAAGTTCATGACAGTTCAAAAATGAAATCACTTCTTCTGCATTGCTCAGCTTGTAAATAATATGCAACTGTTATAAGCAAATTCCTCTCCACCCCTCAGGCTCTTCTATCAGCTTTGAGATGGCACATGCTAGAAAAACAGTGACACTAAATCTAGAGGTAACATATAATTCAACTATCTTTCCCAAAAAAGTGAGAGGTTTGAGCACCCTTACAAGGGTTAGTCACAGTTCTGACAGACACAATAAGTAGTTTTCATTACAGCAATAAAATATTTAACTTTGCTTTC